ACCTCATTAAATCTTTGGCCTATACTTTTACTGCTAAAGACAGTGACAACTGAAAATGTACCCTTTACTTTCAAGAGTCTGAATATTTTTTTGATGTAGAAATGCTGTCCAACAGATAAAGTATTTTGGTTTGGTGAAATTTTTTTCTCTAACAACTGCTTATTTTTATATTCAAATTCTTTTCTTATTGTACTGCTAATGTTTTTTAATGTTTTTTTTTCTTTTGTCTTTTTGTCAAAAACTGATTTCTGATTTTTTTTTTTTTTTAAGTGAAAACATGAGTCCAGGAGAGAAATTAATGAAGATTATTACAGTCTTACCTTTCCTACTCTAGCTGTCACTATTTTGCTTGTGTGGTGTAATCGTAAACAAAAGTGTGAGAAAAATATTCTGATCACTTTTTTTTAAATGTATAAATGATAAAGTGTCTTTGTTTATCTGCGAGCTTGATTTTTATAGAATTAGCGTGTGATATTTAATGCTAAGCAGTACTTTAGGCCTTAAACTGAGAAGTTAACAGAACTCTAAGGCTTACCTTAAACTTTAGTCTGTACTTGAATGCTGTATCAATATACACAGTATAGAATGACTCCAGTGGAAGATGACTTTTGCATTGACAGTGAAACTTCGGCAGCTGTGTGATAAATGGTAACATTATTTATGTGCCAGTCGCTTTTGAAAAACTGGGGAGATTTTTAGACTTTGCCAAGAATTAGACATGCTGCCCTAAAAGTTTAATCAGGGATGCTGTGACATTCAATACTCCTCGTATAAATGTATTAGTCTAATTTTTTATTAAAGCTTTTCAAAATGAAACAGAATCTGCTCCTGGGGAAGAAAAGTCTCATGACTGAACAAAACTAATGCTATCAATGTATTTCTTAATGAATACGGTATAAATGATCTAAAATCAGCCATGATCCTCGCTTCACTGAGCACAGACTTCCCTGATAAAAGTTTTGAATTGGAATAGAACTCTGAGGAGTGCTGTGTGAAATTAATGATCATGAAGCAAAGGTTCACAGAGTGTAAGTAGTCAGCTTCTGCCTCAAGTGAGACCAGGGAACAGATGCCATTCAGTCATTTGAACAGAACTTCTCCTATAAAATCCGTCCTTCAAAATATCATAAGAACCTAATGGGGGCTTTCCAGTGACTTCCTCATAGGTGGATTTTATTTTGGCCATGGAAAACATATCAAATTTTAGATAAGCTCAAGAGGAGCCAACAAAAATAATAGTTACTGTTGAAGTTGTCACTGTTGAAGATCAATGGGTTATGCATATTTCTAATCCTAGAAAGCTTTGTTTCTATGTATTCTTTTTTTTTGTATGTAGTCTGACTTCAGTTTAGTGACACTCTCTTAAGTTAGGAGAACATAAGATTGCATGGAATGTATTTTTAAAATATTTTTACATGCTTTTTTTGATTCATAATCATGTTCTCACTAGTGCTGCTTCAGTTTTTATATACATTTTGCCTGCTTGAGTAGTTTTTTTTCCATCAACGTTGATATTACTAAGCTGGGTGATCTGTAATTTCATATAGTAACCCATTGAAGTTCTCAATAACTTGAAGTTCTCAATAACACATACAAGAAGGGCTTCGACTTAAAGGGAAAAGAAAGACCTCTAAAGATAATTTCAGGGCAAAATTCAGATACCTCCATTTTTAGAAACAATGCTGAAAGCTGTTTAAAGCATTTAAAGCCAACCAAGAGTATTGCTACACACTGGATCCAATTTATAAAGCATTTGAGGGGAAAATAAGAGAAAAAGAAAAAAAAAAAAAAAAAAAAAAGAAATCTCCAGCTAGAACAACTAAAACATTGAGCTAACATTAGAGCACCTTAATTAGAGCACCTAACACCTTAATCAGCTCTGGATTGCAAAGCTGTTGGGCTTGCTTTTCTGTCATTTAAACAAAGCCAAAGTAGCAGAATGTCTTTATTTGCTAGCATTCCTTCCTAATTGGAAAGAGGGAAAACTCAGAATCAAAACTCAGAATCCTCGCTAATTTCATCAACATATGGCTAAAAAAAAAAACTTTCTTGCTCTATGTTTTATTTGGTATAATGATGTGTCCCAAGGCACGTATTACAACACTTACACCCTTGTGCTGTTGGGGGTTAAAAAAGGGTAATCATAGAATCACAAGGCTGGAAAGGACCTACAAGATCATCTAGTCCAACCATCCTCCCATTACCATTGCTACCACAAACTGCTAAACCGTATCTCGTAGCTCCTCATCCAGGCACCTCTTGAACACTGCCAGGGATGGCGACACCACCACATCCCTGGGCAGGCCATTGCAGAGTCTAACCACTATCTGAGTAAGCTGAAGCTATCTTCTAAAGTACTAGTTGCTATTTGAAACAAGCATCAGATGCTATGGTGCTTACATACCTTGCATGTATCCAAGTCTTCTTGGATAAGATTATTGTTTAAGTACTACTCAAGAGGTTTTGAAGTTTTTAAAAAATTTTTTTTTAATCCCAATTTCATTCCATGCTTTTCTGGTTGAATAAGAATCATATGATAGACATATGCTCAGATGTTCTTTTTTTTTTTAGATTTAATATACACAGTACAACTACATAGTACAGTTGTAAAATAGAACATAATTAAATGCCAGGAACAGTAGGAAAACAAAATGTTTTTATAATTAAAAGAACATATTTCTACTGGTAGGTGAATTTGGGCTCTCTAAGGGATAGAAAGTTCTTGCTACCAAAGTTTATCCTGCATAAAGTCTAGTGAGCCACATTGCTGGTCAATGAGCACTGGTATATGGAGCTTTAATCTTCTGGACTCAATAATAACTCTTGCATAATTGGGAAGTAGTTGGTATATCAGTAACATACTGAGCTGGAATAGACCATTGAGAGAATGGAAAAAATTAAGAACAGAAAATACGTATGTATCCAATCTCTCAAAGTTTTAGAAATCCTTTTCTTATGACTGAAGCCTTAAATTTAGTCACAAATACATTAATTTTCTCTATGGTTCAGAGTAGATTTCTGGAAATTATGCTATAAGAACTGTAGAAAATAACAGCTAGCTAATGTATTTCTTTTCCCCTAAAATTTTCTGCTTTCCATCTGTGACTGCTTTTTTTGCCAAGGAATGCTACAAAAGCAGTTACTCTGGCATATAGCTGAAACTTGGCTTTTCCTTCAATCTAATTTGTGATTGGAAATCACAACTAAGTGCAAGATGAGAAAATTTAAGTCTGGATGTTGAAGATATTATTGTCCTAAGTGTTATTTGAGGGCATTAAAAGAAAGTATGGTTATTTTAGGTTCTTTTTTTCCCTTCCAGTATTTCTTATATTGTTTCTGTGTTACATTTAAGTGTCATATTCCAGGAACTTGTTATGTATTTCCAGGCAAAACCAAAGAGGCAGTCACACAAGCAGTGCGGTTCTTGATATGGTCTCTTTCGTGAGCAGTGGAGAAGCTTGACTATGGGCACTGTAGTATTTAGTATCCAAATCTGTCTTGTTTATTTCACTTGAAATATCTAGGTTGTATTAACTGTAATGCACATGGGCATTTGGGCTTTGGTTGGCATTTTTGATGAATTAGAAAGAAGACAAAAAAAAACAACAAAAACAACAAAAAGAAAAAAAAAAAGATAGAAAAAACGGGCTGATATGAATCAATCTCCTCATTGTCTGAAAGCAGAAAACTCCTGGGCCTTCTAATAGAGAAAAGGGATACAAATTGATCCCACTAAAACTGTGAGGAGCAGCAAGAAAAAAGGGGTCTGGAAAAAGAGAAATTACATAGAATGCACAGAGACATTTGGTATTAAAACTCAGTGATTTAATCCGTATGTTTAGCAAACACAGAAAAGGTGGCACTTACACTTTGTGTTATACAGGGAAGGAACAGCAGGAGAAAAAAATACAGAGATGACTTGGAGAAATGATACTGTAGTACACAAAGGAATGTTAATTGTACTAAAGACTGTATGGTGATGTACTAAGGTCATGGTCTTTTCCACTTTCAGCAGCAGTGGGATAAAGTCATTATGGCTATTAATAGCCCACCAGAAAAATGGAAGAAATCTGTGTGTTGAAAAAGCCTTCTGAGTGGAGAGAAGCCTCAGGGTGTGAGAAATTAAAAACAGGAGACAAAATGTGAAGCTTCCTAAGGTGCCCTTTATGGTAGAATGATTCCTAACCTCACAGTGAAAAAGACTACTTGACTGAAGTGTCACAGAAAGTACTTCATTTTGCATTTTTTATTGAGCATTGTTTAGTTCATGGTTTGTTTTTGAAATGTTTTATGTTACAGCATAACCATAACAGTAACTTTCGTAACTTTAATGATGTTTTAATCTAAAGAGATCTCATTACAGCAGTCTGCTCATTCTTTTTTTTTTTTTTTTTTTTTTTTTTTGCTGATAAGTAAATAAGAATGCCAGTTGTTTCAATTGAATTACAAAGTCCATGGATTACAAAAAACAAAATTAATATAGTCCATTATTTATTTATTTATTTTTAGTATTTAGTAGAACTTAGAGGCTGCACACAGGACTCGGACCTCATTATAATAGATACTGTATGAACATAAAATACATTCTTACATGGTAAATATAATGTGCTGTTATTATTTACTTTAATATTGAAACAGGCAGAGTATGACACTTCAAATAAAGTTCCAGGGAGAGAGGCCATGTTTAAACCTTGTTGTCAATGTTTAACTAATGCAATTTACATATTCATTCAGATCCTGTGTGAAAGTTTGCAAAATTGTATATGTTCACTTGAAATTATAGTGAAAAGGATCTAAAACACATTTCACTTTGTCATATATCTTAAAAATCTAGGCTTGTTTCAGAGTGGCCATCACTAAGTTTGTATGTTTGTCGTATTAATTTTAAGTCTTAAGCAACACCACACCTGGATTGTTCTCAGAGTGATAGAAAGAAATGACTGTCTGGTTTTTTTTGTTTGTTTGTTTGTTTGTTTGTTTGTTTTTGTACTGCTTAACAGAGCGAACTCACCAGCAAAAGGGTAACATCTCTAAAGGTTGCAGCATCATCTCAACTGAAGCCTGATGTACCATAAAACATGTGGAGCGTTTCTGCCAAAATTTTCATGTAAACACTGGGAATGAGAATGTACCTGAGCTCAGAAATCTTCCCATGTGAAGAGAAAGAAAACAAAGGTACTACCAGAGCACTGACAGCAGGATTTGTGGCCTTTTGTCCATTACAAAGCTTCCTTGTGGGCAGCAAATGCCATTGGTTTGTATGTTGCTGGCAGATTTATGAAAACATAAAAGAAGAATAAAACCTCTACCTACTGCTGCATAGCCTGGAAATAATCATGTATACATTATCTTTTATCATTCTCACATAACATAATGTTTCTTAAAGATGATGTGCAAATGGTGTCTATTCCATATACGGAAAGGCAGTGGTTTTCTGATTTTTGTGATAACTATGCTAATGGACTATATTAATTCAATTAAGCAATCTCATCAATTATGAAATACTGCTGTCCGCTAGAAGGTCTTAAGAGTACTTTGTAGAGTAGAGATGAACAGACAAGACTGCATGCAAACTGTGCTCCACAGAGCATTTGCCTCTGTGAGAGGCACAGTCTGCTGACTTCAGCATTCAACAGTATCAGCAGCCCTTTATGAACAATGTTTATCTCCTTGACTCTGTGTATCAAGCAAGAGATCAGTTAGTCACATTTTTTTTTTAATGTATCCAAATGTATACACAGACAGGACATAATCCTCATATGGATGCCAGGGTTCTACTAATGTTGGAATTGACTTATCTAGTGGTTTTTATTTTTTCTAACTGGCAGATTAGTACCTGAACTGTAGTAAGCATCTGCAAGAAGCCTCTGAATACCATAATATCATAAAAGTTCTCTAAAAAGAGTACTGAGTCTAGGAAAAGCACGATTACAATAGTCTGGTTGGTTTTCATATACAATATTTTAAACATAAACCAATGCAACAAATGTAACTGAATTTTCTGGGTTTTTGTTTTTGTGTTTGCTTTTTTTTTTTTTTTTTTTTTTTTTCCCCCACTAATAGGGCAGAGCATTTTGAAGGGTTCTGTTTAAAACACTGACAATAGCCAAATATTTGCATGGGATATTTTTTCATATTTATATTAATAAAAAACAAACCTTCCTTTCTCTGGTTGTAAGACGATTGTTATGTCTCTACACATTTTCTTAATGCTTAGTGAAAATATCATATTGTCTATCATCACTTTTCATAATATTTTTGTATAGCAAAATGAATTTCTCAGACATCAAGTGGAATTATTGAAATGTAATGCAAATATTTCAGCTTTTTAAAAATCAGCTTCAAATCAGTAAATCAAGAAGTATATCTATTCAGGGTACTTTGGGAATGGGAAGATTCTGAATTTTGTCTAAATTTCATTTCAAGTTAGCAATTCCATACTGCTCATGCAGTAATTCAAGTTTGACAGTGAGAAACCTTAGAGAGTAAATAACTCTCTTGGATTACACTAATACAACAAGTACAAGTAAAAGCATCTGGTTTTTCAGCTACTGACTATAGTGAGAAAAGATTTAAGTTTTCTAGGATGTGGTTGAAAAGATCTTTGAGAACTTAATAGCAAGTCAAACATGCTTATTTTTCTGCTTTTTTAAGAAATGTTGTATTTGAGAGTTCTGTTCAAGGTTATATTACAATTACCTTATTATTAAAAATGAAAATGAGTGAGTAGGTTGCAGTTTTTTCATTTTGTGTTCACTTTCGTATTTTCATGTAACTAGATTTTTGGAAGAGATGTTAAATTTATAATATCGCGTTTACAATAATATAATTGATGTCATAAAGGAAGAGCAGTTAGCAATGATCACTTGGAAAAAAAAAAATCCAACTGATCTGTATAATATCATAGAACCATAATCTTAGCTTCTGCAGAAATCACTTCCAGATATTAAATAGAGTGTGTATATTTTTTTTAATCTTGTGGTTGGAATTAATAGAGGTAATAAAATATTCAGGTTAGCATTTAAAAACAAGTTTTCCTTCATCCTTTGTGATGGGACTTAAGTGTGATTAGGAATTGAAAGCATGCAAGGATTATTATTATTATTCGTATCTTGCAGAATGTTAATACAATTTAGTAGCAAAAAATGAATATCCAAAGCAGTATCTTTTCATATTAATATAGGGTATATGGTTCAGTAGTATACTTATAAGAACAGTACCCAATGTGTTAGATAATTTGCTAATAAAAATTCCAGTTGTTATTGATATGTAACCTAAGAAAAACAAGTGGTTCTTGTCTAAAACTGAAGTTCAGCATAGGAAAATGTAAGAAAAATACACATCATTCCATCTTTCTTGCATATGCATACCATTTTACTTCTCATTATTTTGCAGGTTATGTTTGCAAGAATGCTTACATGAGTATGTACCATCCCTCATATTTATAACACAATAAGAACATGTATTCAATATTTGAACTATACTGAATTTCTGTTTTGGGGACGTAGCAGTAATTCCTGCAGTAGTTCACTCTAATAAGCTCTAAGGGCTCTGCAAAGACTAATTCTAGGTGACACATGTATCAGTCAGGGCTCAAAGACTGAACACACTACACTTGGGTTGCATTCAATTGATTTGCCAATTGAAGACAAGTATTGCAGGTTAACTTTGGTAAAATATAAACATAATGGCTGAAAATCAGAGGCTTGTGCAAACACTCAATGTTCTTCCTTTTCTGACTTAAAACTGATCCAGTTATTCCTTATCTTTGGTCATGATTCCTAGTCTCAGGTTATTGTCTGAAAGTTTGCGTATTATTTTTGCGCCTTTTTGTCTAAGGAAGAAAGGGAAATGCAATCAGATAAAAAATTTAATACTCCTATCTTTAATCATATTGTCCAAATTCCATTCCGATTTTTAATTATATATGTAGGATATCAGAACTATAAAGAGAGTATGCTGAAGTTTATATTTGTTTAATCTGAACCCCAGGGTGCACATTTTCCACCTTGCTTAGCTGATTTAATATCCAACTGGTGTATAGCATGGCTTTATCACAAAAAGTTATGTCACATTAACTATGTTGTATTTCAACAGGCAAACACAAGACACTGTGTAATAGCTTCAGCTGCTCAGTGGTGTGGTGATGATATCTTCTGTCTTATTATAGCTGCTTGGATGCTCCAAAGAAAGATCACTTGAAAGGTTTCTAAAACTGTATCTTTTATAGCAGACGTGTGAAGGGATGTGCAAATCAAAAGGCTTCTGTCATTTCTGGCTGAAGGCCAAGCATCTTGGAACAACTCAGCAGAGAGTTTGAATTGCACACTCCATTATCTATAGTGGAGTAAACCTAATAGTCAGAATTCTTCTGAAGTGATCAAAAATTTATGCCCAGGCAGGCTTACAGTGTTGGAGGTGCATACAGTGTATTAGGAATTAAAACATCACATTTGAATAGTTCTGCCAAATTTTTGTCTCTTTCTGCTATAATTTCAGGAGAACTTGGTGGCTACTATTAAGATTAGTGAGATATTTTAAATAAGTTATTTATTGAGTAAGTTTGCATTGGAAGAATATTTAGTGAGATTAGTGTCACTGTTAAGAGACAGCTGAACACTTTGGCAAATTTAACAAGGAATTTAAAAGTTAATAAAGAAGAAATGTATGTATCTCACCCTTATGTCCCTATAAAAAATGAATCTCATCATGTAAGAGAAAATCTCCCATTTGAACTATGACAAATCTCATTCATTTGTTAAAGAATTATTGATGCTTCTTGTGAAAAACTGATAACAAACTGGCGAGAGTTGCTGTATTTAAATAAATCTTAGCAAAACATTTTTTTGACCAGTATATCCTTTCTATGGTTTGTGAGACTTGACAGTTGTAATACAAAGGCACAGTTTTCTTCTACTTCTCTTCAAAAATATGATCTGTCTTCATGTTCTTCGGATATCAAAGCATGGTTTTGTTGAAGTGGAGGAAAATACTGCTTGTCTTGTTTGCAGCTAGGGAGATCCTGACCAGAAAAGAAGAACAGATATTTGGTACATAACTTTTGAAAATATGAAAGATGGGAACTGAGAGGAGGGCAGGCAGGCAGGTGGGGAAGGGCTGAAGCACTGACATCACACTGCACTACAGGAGGCTGCTGTGGTCTTTGCCTCCATTGTTCATAGTGAATTTTCACCTAGCATGTATTTTCTGGTACATCAGCATGCAAATGAAATTGACAATATTAATAAGCCTCAAGGGTCATCCTTCCCTCTACCTATGACAAGAGCTGTTTAATCTGTTTTCTATTTAGTTATAGCAGCCACCACAGATTATTGAGGCAAGTGATTTTTTTTTTTTTAATTTGTGCTTTTGGATTTATCTGCCCTCTCCTCTGTCTTAATTTCATTACATAATGGGACAAGAATTCAATCTCTAAATTACAGTAAAATTAAGCATACAGTTCTGGTTTTGTTTGTGTTGGTTTGTTTTGTTTTGTTGTTGTTTTTTTTTAATGTAATATGTAATCACATCATTTAATAAAATTTGATTCTATTAATGTCAGGTGTTCTCTATTACACATTTTGCTTTTCAAGTTGCTTTGGATACCATTAAAAACACTCTAGCAAACACTTGCAAAAATGTAATTTTCACGTGCTTACTTCAGCATTTCAAACCTAACCATTACAAGCAGCTTCCTTTCAGCATTTGTATCATTCTGGGTTTATTTACAATCTGTTGAGAACACAAAAAAATAATTTTTCAGTGTGAGTTGCTTTATCTTAAATAGTGGACAACAGAGCTGACGTCTAAAACTATCTGTTAGCATGTCAGTAGAAGTGATGATGCACTCCCCCAAAATAGTAGGTCTACTTCGAACAAGACTGTGATTTATGATTCAGAATCACAATGACACTCTTTCTAAGCCAATAAAGACGACATCTGGGTAGAGCAGATCTAGGCCTATTCAAACAACATAGATTTTACTATTTATAAATTCAAATTATCTGCTCTCACCATTGAAAGATTGTTTCAGAATGACACAAAGGAACTGATCAATAGTGCACAAGAGGATAACTTAACCACAGGCTTCACTGGCAATGTGCAAGAGAGAATTTCTAAATGTAGCAATTTAGAAAACTGGTGGTTAGCCTTTATTTATCTTGTATTTGGTGTGAACTAGAAAATAATTCAGCTAAATATAAATGATAGTTCTTAAATGGCAGTATCCTATAAATTTGTTTAATATTAATATATACTATATTACAATGTATATTAATATATTTCTGTGGAAATTAAGAACTGCAAATGTGCTTGAATTCAGATTTTAGTTGAAGCTCTAAGAACTGTGGTTTTTGTCACATACATAACAAGAAAAGGTGACAGAAGTCTCTTTGCACACTGGAAGTCACATTGATTAAAATTGGAACTGCAGAAGCCAAAAGGGCAAAACTTTCACAGACCTCAGCTGAGAAAATGAAAACATGCAGGAAATACTTTTGAATGCTGTTACAAATATGGCACAAATGTAGGAATTGCATGGCCTGAGATCTGGCTTATATTATTTGAGTACTTTTTCCTCTATTTTCTACTTGACTGTACCACAGAATTCCTGCTAATGTCATTTTAATGTGTTTGCCATAGTGTTCTCAAAAAAAAAAAAAAAAAAAAAATCACAGAAAATTTGATAACATGTACTGTGTGACCAACTTCTAATTTAAGTAGAAGTAGCATTTCGTAATAGGTAAATTGGAAAAAGTCATACTGAATTTACTAATAGAAACTGTTGACTCATTCTATTAGCTTTGTACGGGGCTTACCTATTGAATCAGACTGCATACACAGCTGTGCTAAGAAGCTTGAAGTATAATCTTGACCATCGCTCTTCAGGAATGGGAAGCTGCCTCACTGAAATCTACAACTTGCTTCAGTAAGGACAGATTTTTCTTCTGGAAGAGTTATTTCCAGGAGTGATGAATGATATAGTATTTTTTTAATGTTAGTAAATGGATACTTAGTGTACATAATTGTATTTCCTTAGTATTGCTCATCGTAAGTTTAAGATGTGTAATTCATTTAGTATTTTATAAATTGTTGTTCTGAAATTTTGCAGGATATTAGAACAAAAATTGAAATGACCATAGTATTATTCTTTAATATGGATTGCACATACAAGTGGAAAGAACTGACTCTATATAATTCAAATTTATTATAAATAAGCACTGAAATGTGCTGAAATGAAAAAAAAAAACATGCAATAAACTAATTAAATGCAATCCTTCTCATATAAAAAGAATGTTTTCTCTGTGCAAACTAGATTTAATTTCTACTGATAATTAGAAACTCCTGCTAATAATAATACTGAACATTAAATATTCCTATAAAATATTAAATCCTATATTCAATGTTAGGATTTGAAATGCAAGAAGCTGCAAATACTTCTTATTTCTTTTAGTAGTATATGTTTCAGCAGTTTTCAGATATGCTGTGTTCTAGAAAGCTGTATCTTAAAGATGGCACTAGCCTTGTGATATTTCTGATCTATTTTGGTATTTAAACCCTTCCACATTAATTGGGGTATTTACATCTCTTGTACCAAATGGAAATGAACTTACTACATGGTCAAAATTCATCAGAGTAATACATTATCCTAGTTTATTCCTTGTGCTCTAAGCATACATCCTTGAAACTGTCATTTTGTGGTTTATGGGAAATACTACCTTTAACTAAAAAGAAATTTAATTACACCAAAATTCTGTGTGTCACATAGTACTCATTGAGTACTAGACATTGTCACTAGGTTAATGGAAAAAATAGACTAAGGTCAATGAAATGTCTAGAAGACAGGTTTTTATTTTAAAAGCCAAGTGAATGCAAGCTTTCGTATTAGTTTCAGACTTGCTTGTTGCCTCAATCCAAGGACACTCTGGTCACTTCATCAGTGCATGCTCTGTGCGTGCATGACTCAGCTTTTTCTGCTTTTTAGGTTTGGTACTCAAGGAGACCTTTGAGTAATCAGTAATTTAGTGCATGTCTACAAATATGAAAGAGGGCTCCAAACTACTTTAGGCACACAACTTTTGTTGCTGTTTTTTTTTTAATATTTTCAGTAACATCCATAGGACATGCTCATTACAAATAACAGACCAGTTGTTGTTTTTATTACAATTTTATTCTCCTTTAATATTTACATTTATGCAAATTTTTGGTGAAAATAGAGATAGTTCTGAGCTGAAAAGCTGGTTTCAAATTCTTTCAAGCTTTTTGAAAGACAGAAGTAAATATTCAAATTTTGTTTCAAGCTAGATTCTTATTAAAAGGTGTTTATTACTGCCATAATTACTGTGAATCCCAAACTTCTAAACAGGATTCAACCCTGAAATTTCCTGGAAGCTAAATATGTGCTGTCTGTTATGCTGAAATGAATATTGACAGTGGTTCAAAATCAATAACAAGTATTTATTAGTTGAAATTGCCACTCTAGAGACTTTGCAGCAGTGTTTTCAACTACTGACCTAAATCCAGTTCAACATTCACAAAAAAGGACAAAGTCGTTTACAGTAGGTAGCATTGTTCTAAGTTGTAAACAGGATCACTAAAAGATTTCAGAATATTAATTTGGGCATGGACAAGATTTATAGCTTTACCTCTGATCTCGTTCGAGTAAAGTAAGTACTTTTTCACTATTATGATACCAACTTTCTCCACAGATGACAAGTGAGAAATGTTCTCTAAGCACAGGAACAACAGCTGTTCCTAAAGACTTTTGTTTTGAGCAATGGTGATTACATTTTTCACCCATCTGTGTAATCTGTATACCCAGACAACACCTCTAAAATATCTTCTCTCTTTCATGAAGTTATCAGGGCATTTTGGAGTAAATTAATCTATATATACTTTTCTTCCTCATTATATTTTACCCAGAAGAGCTTTTTCACTTTTCACATTCTGCTTTCTTCCTTATTAAGTAATGTTTTTATTGGCAATTAACTGCAGGTCTATGCCAAGAACCACTGATTAATAATAGTGTTGTTGGTGGTTTCAATGACAGAAGTTTTTTAAAACCCCTTAGCACCACCTACAAAGAGGGTTCTGGACTTTTTATGATGTTATGTTATGGTGAATTTTATCATTGTTTATGATCACACAGGGTGCTAATAGGTGCCTCTTGAACAGATGAAAACTTAAATACCTAATGAGTCAATAACTGTAACCAATTGAGAAATCTTAATGAATACTTATGTTCAAAGGAGTAATTTTGACAACAGTTTTTGGAGTTTGTGAAAACACAAAGTAGTCCAGCTCAGATAAGAGATGCTAACAAGATCAGAAAAGTTTGGCAAAAAATAAAGATCTTGGACTTGACAAATAAATATGGGCATTGTGACTTAATGACAGCAAGCAGCCAGTCTCACAAGAAAATAAGGACTGAAGTATTTGCAAACACTCATCAAATCCTTTCAGTACGTTCAAGGAATTTTTAGGCTAGATAATGACTATCCTTCCTGACAGAATGGAAGTTAAGTCTAGTAATAGCTTCTGTAGAGGGCTAATAGCAACAGCTCTGAGTACTGAGACTGTCTGTCTTTGTACCCATGGCGGGCTTGTAGAAAATATGAGAAATGAGGAGGTTGTGGAGTGTTTCTGAGTATGATATTTCTTGTGGCTCTGGTTAAACTTATCAGTTGGGCTGATAAAATTTCCTGGTTGCTATAGCACAGCTTAGCTCTGCATTCTTATGCATTTCTTTACTGAGTTCATTCCTTTGGAGAATTTATTTCCTGTCTGGGGTAGTCTAAAATATCCTTTTCCTCCCAAGTTTTCAATCGCCCTCCTATCTATTTCAACTTCAAAGAAAAACTTTCATCAGTATTTCAGGAGCCATGTAGTGTTTCTACTGCTCTGTTAAATTTCAACTGCTGGGAATGGTGGGGTTTTTTTTGTTTGTTTTGCTTTGTTTCTGCTGTTTACACTGTTGTGCTGGTTTTGTTAAAACACATCTTATTTTTCTGTAGAATATTTTGAAGTTTTCCCTACAGTGTCTGAGAAAAATCTTTCGTGAAGTTTCTGGCTTCTTGCTCCTATTTTTCAGCTCGATGCACAACACATACACAAGTTACTCTCTCGATATTTTTTCCTTTCTGTGGAAAGAAGAACTTTAAAAAGGCTTCTTTTCCCTTTGGTTGCTATCTAGTTGTCTCAAACTCTCTTTTATTTGAAATATTCAGGTGGTGCAGAGAAATATAGAGAGACTTTTTTCCATTTTCTTACAAGTAAGGCTGGATGATCTCATGATGAGCTATAAAGGATGCTGCTGC